ATAGATTTTTATGTGAAAATAAATCTGCAGTCGGAAACAAGATGTACTGGCAATTGCTTTTGTGTTGTAACCTTTGAAATGTTCTCTCTGATGGTTTGACAGAGAAACCACACTTATCTAACTGGGGCAGGGAAAAGAGGAGAGCAAAGGGCAGTGTCCTCAAGGAACCCACCCCACCAACCCTTCAGCAGTTCTCAGGTGCCCTCACCAGAGCCGACTCTGGTGAGCTGGCATGAAATGGTCACTTTTTATTGGATGGAGAAGACCAGAACACTCATCGTGGACTGGGTTTTGTTCTGAAGTGCTTTATTTGCTCACAAGGCCAGGCAAGTGGAAATACAGAAGAAATCTGAAGAAAATATTTCCTACATGTATTAGTCTGTTTCTGTTGCTTAAACAGAATGCCTGAAACTGGGTAATTTATAAAGATATGGAATTTCTTTTTTACAGTTTCAGAGGCTTGGAAGCCCATAGTCCAAGGAATGCATTTGGTGAGGCCCTTGTTTTTGGTGGGGACTCTCTACAGCAATGCAGGTGTCACATGGCAAGAGTGGGCTGAGCAAGAGTGAGCTCACCTTCTCACTTGTTCACCTTATAAAGCCATCAGAACCACACCCATTAAACCATCAATCCATTTACTAGGGCACAGTCCTTGATCCAATCCGCTCTTAAAGGCCCCACCTTTCAAATACCATAATTAATTTCCCACCCTCTTAACACTGTTACAATAGGAGTCAAGTTTCCGATATATGAAATTTTGGGGGACACATTTAACCCACAGCACCAGATAACCCAAGCATCTGCTCCCCGCTCCATCCCTTCCTCTCCCTACAGTGTCCTCTTGCAAATCCGGGATTGCTGAGGCCTTCTGCTCTGCCCCTGCATGCTCCAAGCTGCACCGTGCACTCCTGCTCACTCCTGGAACTCTGACACAGTCCCCTTGGGAGGGGTTGCTTTCTCCTGGGGCAGGGCAGAGAGGTTGATGTGGGGCAGCCCCTGTTTTCTTTACTGTCCTGACACTTCATTCTCCATAACTTCCTTACCTCATACCAGACTGTGCAGGAATTGCAGACTTAATAAAGTGTTACAGCTAATTCAGAAAAATTATAGTGTGGAATGGTGTATTTAGAGCTGTTCATAACCCTCAAATTCCACTGTTCATGGGCCCCTCTCATTGGCACACCCTGGTTCTAACCTGATACTCTTCCCCTCAGGTCCCTCTTACCTCTCACATACAGATAATTAATGTTAAGAATCAGTATTTATTAAGAACTTTCTATGTGTCAGGTACTTCTAGGTGCTTTCCATACCTTAAGTAATTTAATTCTCAACAAATAGCTATGAGATAGATACTATCATGATACCCATCTCAGAGATGATGAAACTGAGGCAGGTAGAAACTAAACATGTCTGTTATCATACATTTTGGAACTGGGAAGTCAGAAAGTCTGGCTTGGAGCCCATGCTCCCAACCACCACATTAACTATGGCCAATTTTCATGCACCTTTCAGGAAACCTTGGCCCCTTCCCCTCCCCACAGGTTTGGTTTTACTGTGGGATCCATGGCAGTACATTTCTCTAAACCTGGGGCACTCAGTCTGGGGTTACACCTCATGGGAGCTTAAAGAGAGTCCAGGAAGCAGTGCAGGGCAAGCTGAGTGAGCCAGCTTTTTCTCACTGTCCAAATGGTGAGCTGAGGGTACACACACACCCTTTATAGGACAAACGTTCATTTTCAGGGTTGAGAGAGTTAAAACAACAAGAAGAAAAAAAAATTCTCTATCTCCAGGACATCACATTATTCCTCATCTTAAGCTCCTGTCTCCTGTTTTGTTGTTGTTTTTAGTAACAGAAGCCCTTTATTTTAATGTAGTTGGATTTATGTTATATTTATTTATTTATTTATTTATTCCTTTTTGTCTTTTTTCGTGACCGACAACGGATTGCAACCCTCAGTGTCGCGCCCGTACCGGACCGGGACCGGCAACGGGATCGCAACCCTCGGTGTTGCGCCCACACCTCGCTCAGCCAGTGAGCAGCCGGTCTGTATGTGGGATCCGAACCCTCGGCGGGAGCGCTGCCGCGCTCCCAAGCAGCGCACTGTAGCAGTGCGCCACCGGGCTGGCCCATATTTATTTATTTTGTGTTTTATGTTTGGTTAAAGAAATTCTGCTCTAGACATCACAAATTCTCTTTTAGTACACTTTTTAAACTTTTTTTTTACTGTGGTAAAAAAATACATAAATAACATAAAATTTTAACTACTTTTAAGTGTATAATTCAGTGGCATTAATTACATTCACAATCTTGTGCAACCATTACCACTATCTATGTATAAAACTTATTCTTCACTACAAACAGAAACCCTCTACCCATTAAATAATAACTCCTGAGTCCCCTCTTTCCCAGCCCCTGATAGCCTCTAATCTGCTTTCTGTCTCTACAGATTTGCCTATTCTAGATATTTTACATAAGTTGAATCATATGATATTTGTCCTTTTGTGGCTGGCTTCTTTTACTCAGTGTAAAGACTTCATGATTCGTCCATGCTGTAGCACATATGAGATCTTCATCCCTTTTATCACTGAGTTATTCCACATTTTCTTTTTCTGTTTATCTGTTGATGGACACTTGGTTTGTTTCTACTCTTTGGTTATTGTAAATAATGTTGAAATAAACATGGGCATAGAAGTATCTGAGTCCATGATTTCAATTATTTTGTGTATATACTTAGGAATGGAACTGCTCGCTCATATATTAATTCTACGTTTAACTTTTTGAGGAACTGCCAAACTGTTTACCACATAGCTGTGACATTTGACATTCTCACTAGCAATATATGAAGGCTCCAATTTTAATCTCCTGCTCCTAAATAGAGCTCTTTTTAGAACTGCCAAAAATAAGATCTGGACCCAGGGCTGAGCCATAACCGCCTAATTTCCTGACTAGTTCTTTAGCTACACTCAGAGAATATTTGAGATTACAGCTCCAGCATCAGGTGTACTAAGTTCTTAGCTAAGGGTCCTTATTTTTCTCAGTGTCTGCCTGAAGGTAGCCAAGATAAGGGTGTATAAGGGAGGAAAGTTTTATTCCTTTAGGGATAACTTGTCTGTTACTTTGCCTCCCAAGGATTTGTCACCCCTTTTCCCTGGGTGACGGAGCTGCCAAAGATTACTCAAAGCCCATTTCTTCTGAGCAGTGAGACGCCCCAGGAAGGGGTTAATATCCCAGGACCCTCAAGCATGAAGGATTCCTTCCATTTGAGAAATTAACTACAAATTGGGGTTCTTTTCCTGCATTTATTCTCCAGATCAGCAAGTTATAGGAAGAGACATCAGTGGGGTTTTGCTAAGCACAGTTAAACAAGTTTTAACAATAGAAGCTGGTAACATGCAATGAAGTTGATCCACTAACAAAAGCTTGATCTAGCAAACATTCCTTCTCCCTCCAGCAGCTTTTTAGTAACTTTACATATCAATTAAAGTTTTGAACCAGTAGCCTTGCTGTGTTACAATTCTTGTCTTGCAACAGAGACTCAATAGCTTGGGGAAAATTTCCTGTCCTTTGCAAGGTCAGTATTTGAAACTTCAAGGCTTTGGAAAACCAAGCCCTGTGAAGTACATTTGCTTTATGAATCCTCTACACTTGTCCAGTCCTGAGCACTGGTGAAATTTTAGTCATGGCACATGGCTGAGACTGTCAGAAGCTCTCAGGCTTCCTGCCCAGTTATAGCCTTAAGTTGGCAAAGACCTTCCCAAGCATACAAATAAAGAGTTGGTGGAGACCTTTGAGTAGATAGAAGATGGGTTTGTTCCACTCAGAGAATGAATTCACTCAGAAACATTCTCGGCAATTTTCACCCTTGTATCCATAATGTAAGGGCTCGTGGTTCTGATTCTTCTTTAGTTGTTTTATATGTGTGGCTTTGTCACTTCCAACAAGGTAAAAAGCTTCCAGTAAGATCCAAAAACCTTGTTTCAAACTTCGTCATGTAGCAACACCCACTGGCTCTGCCTTGCCACTCCACAAGCTACATCTCCCAGCACAATGCCCAGCACGGATGAGAAACATAACATCACCAAGTGATGGAAACAGCCTTGACTGTCAGTCTGGTGAGCTGGTATATAGTTCTAATTCTGACTTTTCCTAGCTGCACAGTCTGATCTCTCTACAAAACCATTTTCACACCTGCAACATGAGAATACCAGCTTCCAATGAAAATGATGTAACAGGTTCAGGCTTTGAGAACACCTCTCTTCCTAGCCAACTCTCCAAATGCACAGCAGTTTCAGAATCAGTGATAAAAAATAATTTTTAAAAAGTCTCTACAAGACCAGGTCTCTTCCTGCAGGACAAGGCAGGGTCTGAGGTCCTTCTGGGCTCCAGATACTGAGGCAGGAGGGGCCAGCAGCAGCGTTAGAAGGACCCTTGATGGGGGAGACAGGAGTCGGTCTCACTGTGAAACCAGGGGCTGGGAATGGACTTTCCGGCCGTGGAAAGAGGTTGAAAAAGTTGAGAGGTGCTGCTGGGCCTAAGGCTTATGAGTGGCTCAGACCTAGGGGCCTTGGAGGAATC